ACACACACACACACACACACACACACACACACACACACACACACACACACACACACACACACACACACACACACACACACACACACACACACACACACACACACACACACACACACACAGTGGCTGAGAGTGGGAGGGGGTGAGGAGTTTAGGGGGCTTTAAACAAAGATTGACTTTCTTGTGAGGGCGTCACACTGAGGTGCTACTTTGATTTACAGGCTTCATTTTATTTTATTTTATTGGATGACATAAGTGCAGGAAAGCTGGCTCCGAAAGAGGCCATAAGAAGAGCATTATGATCACGTTATCAAGACGGAAGTCTGTTGTGTGAAAAACTAGTGAAAAGAAAAACTAAAAGTTATAGACTTCTTCTCCCCAGTAAAGGATAAGGTGTTGGCTTTGTGCGTGCACACCAAAACAACCAGCTAACAATCTTGCTCAGACCCAAGGGCAAAGAGAAGCTGAACCGCAGAGTTAAAGCTACCATATACAAAGACGCTGGCCACACTCGGCTCACAGCTGGTTGTACTCTTAAGGAATGTCTGTCTTCTAAATTACATTTCCTTCATTCAGTTAACCCCATATTTAAAAAAAAAAAAACTAGCTGTTTTAATTGACCACAAAAAGTCCAAGAGGTAATTTAAAAAGACAAGCTGAACACAAGGAATTTACCCCATAGTGGTTGGATAAAAAAGAGCTGAATGAAGCAGAACCGAGTGTGGATCCAGTGAATGAATGAATTCAGACTGTTGCTTATTGCAGCCAATGATGATTTGATACATCCATAAAGTAAAAAAAAAGGGGGGCTAAGAAGAATGTTAATCTTCAAATGCCTCAGATTTCACGGAGGAGGATACGTCACTGCTGGCAGGAAATACCACTCATATCAGCATCTCTTTTGTCCCCCCCTCCCCTTCAAGGACTTCACTGTAGCAGACAGAGGAAATGTAGGTGTTTTCTTTATGTCCGGCAAATATTGTTCTGTAGGACTTGGAGGAGGGGACATGACCTATTCTTTACCATACAAGGGCACAGCCAAGGAATGCAGAATAATAGGGGGAAAAAGCTGAAGGTGAGTTACTGGTTGGCATGTGAGCAAAACATTCATCTCCATCTCTAAGGAGAATAAGCCGGCAAGGAAATTATTGGAAAGATAAAAGTCAGTGCTGCTATTAAAAAGAGGAATAAACAGTCACAAAACTTCTTTTTTTTTTTTTTTTTTAAAGGCATGTATACTGCTCAGTGTGATAAACAATACTGTTGTCAGGAAAGTAATCTCCAGCATCAGCCATGGTATTTTAAGTGGATCTGGGTGTGCATGCTGGTCTAAATAAACAAGGTGCTTTTCCCCATCAAGGACACATTCAAAAAGTTCAAAATGACCAGAGAGAGGTCACTTTGGAGATTGTTTCCTTTGTGTCATATTAGTATACACAAGGACTCATTTTGCAGGCTAAAAAAAAACATCTTCCTGTACTGACATCTTTTCAAAGTATTATCAAGAGAACCAGCACGACATCTTACCACAGGGGGAGGGGGGGGGAGTAGGAAACTAGTCTTGCAGTTTAAAAGAAGCAATAAATAAAAAATGCAGCAGGGACAGGCAACAAAAAGGATGAATGTCATGCAAGCTGGGACTAGCAGGTAAATTACATTATCTGATAATGCGGGTCACAACGCCGGGCAACAAGCTACACGGGGTATAGAAAATGCTGGAAACAGGGTCAACTATTTTGCCACAACGACACACATCTTTGCCAAGGGGGGCAACGCCCATAATCTGTGTTTTGCATGGAGGGAAAAGTAATCTATATTTTGCTATTCAAGACAGAAGATTCAAAGATGGATTTACAATTGTGAAAGTGTACTTATTCATTTGTAAGGACATGAAAGAGTAAGCGTATCCTGTAAAACACTTTAAAGTCTATTTTGAAATTGTTTTAACATACACCTCAAAATACCTGACCTGAGCAAGCATATCAAAATGGAGGACAGGTGATACTCGCGAGAATCACAAAGAAGAAAAGTTCAATACAACTTTCTTTATATAATATATATAAAACATTTGACCACCTACCTTGTTTTTGATTTCCGCTGATAATCCGAAGGCTGGACCCTTGTTAAAAGACATTGTCAAAGAGTTGTATTTTTTCTTTTGGGATAAAACAAATAGACAACTACTTGAGGATAAACACTGCTCTGAATAATCTTCGACTTTCTCTTCCAATGAGACCTCGCAGTGAACTAAATACTTCCTTTCTCTTCGGCAGCCGCCAATTACAGCGCTCCCACGGTCACTGCCAAAGAGCGTCGATCCGAGAGTCAAGATAGTTCCCTGCCAGCAGCTCAGCGAGAAAAAACAGGTGCGCCAAAATGTACTTTAGGTTTGTGTAGGATTCAGCATTTTAGCTTTTTCTAGCATTGATTAGGCTTTTTATCCATCGGAATAAAAAAAAAATTAAAATCACTCAACAAGGCTATTGATAAGTGCACCTTTGTGTTTTGATGTTTTCAGTCGCTTCATTTGTATCAATTAGTTTTTTTTTGCCACCTGGGTTGGTGACTTTATACGTTACAAACATATGCATGAAAGGTACTTTCAGCGGTGTATTTCAGACACAATATTTTTATATTGGAAAAAAATGTGTCCAGCGTATCTGCCCCTCCTTTGTATAATTTGTACGACCCAACCACTGTTACCAGATAATGCTTTGAAAAAGAAGTAAGACTTTGTGTTAGGAAATGGAGTGAAGAAGCTCAAATGTACGTGCCGATTCACAAATGTGTACAAAATGCAGTTTTGTCTTTCTTGTGGCAACATTAACAGATGTAGTTTTTTAATACATATAGGCCTAATGTCTTAATGTCTGTAGCAAAAAGGCCTGTACAGAGTAGACTCGAGGTAATACTACTAGTGTATACGCCTATCGTTAAAACAACGTTTTTCTTTTAAATTGATATACTCATCCCTTGTTTTTGTACATACATTTCAGCAATAACGGAAGTACACATGACTCCTCTTGTTCTTCCTGTATACTCTTTGGTTATATGCTTCGTTAATCGATCCTTGACTCCACCTTTCCTCTTCTTTTCCTTAGATTGCGATTGACATCAAAAACTCCTTATATGGAAGGAAACTTCCCAAATTCCTGAATAGAGGGAGTGATCTAGCGGTCCTACCCTGCATACCAGACGTGCAGCGGCCTAGAGTCCTAGACCCACTGTCGCACTTTTTTGACTCACGGCCGAAAAGAAAAAAAAGAAGTTTTGAGGAACTTCAATTTAGCACAATGAGCTACTGCAGTGACGTTATGTCGGGTCAGTGGGGTTGGAGATAAGAGATGCAGCTACCATTCACACAGGGCCGGTTCTAGCCAATTTGATGCCCTAGGCGAGATTTTAGCTGACGCCCCCCCCCCCTCCCTCCCTATAATATATAAAGAATAAATGAAAAGTCTCTACAAAAGACAAATACAATACAAAAACAGAAACGTATTGACATAGGTAAAATACATCAAAAAGGCTTCAAGTGTATTCAGTATTATATGAACATGTTTGAATTGGGGGGTGGACATCACCTTCTCTAGGGGGGTCCCGGGAAGAAATGTTTGAACATTTTAAAGTAAAATCTTGTGCACTTCGAGCACACAATTACTAGAGACTAGATCTGGGGGTACAACTCTAAACACCCAAATAAAAAAGAAAACGGTTTACATTTTAATAATCAAATAAGTATGTAAACATAACCAATAACCTACCATAGCCCATAAAAAATGAATGTAACTTATTTTATTTTTGTTGTTCATTCTTATCTTATTTGACCTAGTTAACATTTATTTAGTAATGCATTTTTTTTATCTCTCCAGTTTTAAACGAAATTTTTGGTTTAAATATGTGTTTACATAAATTGTGATCAAAACTTTTGAGATCCACTGAGATAACTTAGACTAAAGTTAACTATCTAAACACTGAGAGAGTCCTTTACCTCACTTCCCGTCCACACAGTGGCGTGCGTTGAAGCTTCAACGCTTCTGCCCATTCACTTTGAATGGGGTGACGTCACGCCGAACTGCATTGTGGGGAGCGTAGCTACGCGTTGCTCGCGTCAAAAGTTGAACCATGTTCAACTTTTGAAGCTTCGACAGAAGCGTCAGCCATTCAAATCCCGTTTATGAAAATCTGCCAGTACAACTGCTAGCCAATCAAACCGCGTGTATGCTGTGAGAGCCATACCGCAGGTCATTTCTATGTTCCATAAAATGGAGGAGAAAATAATCATTGCGGTAGTGAATCACCCGGTGCTGTATGATCAGTCTCTGTTCATCTACCGGGATACAAACCGGAGGAGCCAGGCATGGAGGGAGGTGGCAGAGATAGTGGGTGAAACTGGTAGGTTTTCGCCTGTTTGGGGAGTTTATATCCAGTGTACCTCGTTTAAACATCGAATGGACAGCTAGCAGGCATAGACAGTATATATAGCTAGCATGGAATGTTTTTTGCTTTGTATGTCGGGGGCGGGAGATTCATGTGATTGGTTGTTGGTCGCGTTGACTCCCGAAGCTTCAGACACGCCCACCGCCAAGCGTCAACGCACGCTGCTGTGTGGACGCTCCGTCACTGAGCTGTAGCCTCTCAGTCTGTCAGGAGAAAGCTCCCCTCCACCTTTGTTGTAGAAACATCTTCTTCTTATATCTGTTAGCGCAGCTAGCACCAGATGCTAATAACAACGGCCCGTCCACACGGTGGCGTGCGTTGAAGCTTCAACGCTTCAACCCATTCACTTTGAATGGGGTGACGTCAAGCTTTGCCGAACTGCACTATGGGAGCGTCGCTTCGCGTTGCTCGCTTCAAAAGTTGAGCAATGTTCAACTTTTGAATCTTCGACGGAAGCGTCAGCCAATCAAATCATATGCCAGTACAAGCTCCAGCCAATCAAACTGCGTGCTTGTGTGTCAAGGGCGGGAGATTCATGCGATTGGTTGTTGGTCGAGTTTCAGACACGCTTGCCGGCAAGCTTCAACTCACGCCACCGTGTGGACGATGCGTTGAACATTGCTCAACTTTTGAAGCAAGCAACGCGAGCAAAGCGACGGAACCACAATGCAGTTCGGCAAAGCGTGACGTCACCCCATTCAAAGTCAATGGGCAGAAGCGTTGAAGCTTATGAATGTTGTTACATCAAGGCCGAAGATTCCTCCCTTTTTAACATATTAATGGAAGGAGGTATAATTTAACTGGACCGAGAGTTTAAAATAGCCAGGGGGTTTCTATAAGGGACTTTTTCTTTATATTCTCTCAGTTCTTCATAGAAACAGCAAGTCTGATTTGCATGTGTATAATCAAAAGCAATATTTTAACAATGGAAACTCCCTTGGAAACTGTAGTTCCACTTATAATAACCTTACTAGGAGGGGTAACATCATCGTTTTGTTAGAAAGTGTTACAATGTGCAAGTTACAGTCCAACCTGAATGCAATCAACATTCAGATAAAGTAGATTACAGTTTAACATTATTGATTGAGCCTCCTCACATAAACATTTGAATCTACATCGTCAAGTAATAAAGAAAGAAACTTGAACGTGGCATATCGACTGGGACAAATACAAAGTTGTTTCTCCAGACCAGCCATAATCTAGTTATTGACAATATGGCTTTTGGTAAAGATGAAGCTATTGATTGTTGGCCGAGCATGTGAAAGACATTAGCAAAAGGCACAGATAAGATAACACCCATAAAATTTGACATTTGCTTCAGTTATTTTTGTTCCATTCATTTAGTTACATTTCTAACATCCGAATTAATTAATTTGGAATTGTATATATATTTATTTATATATATAT